TGTAAAGTATATGTATGTATTATTGTAATACATATAGAACACCATTATTGTCTGAATGAAAATAATCAGTAGAAGATTGTAGTGATTCATCATCATTCCTTGCTAGACACTGTTCACTGGATACAGTAGCTTTAGCTCCATCAGAATCACTTAGTACATGATCTGACTGTTGTACTGTTGGTTTTTCAGTAGTATGGGATTCTACCTCATGGACTAACTGAGAAGGATCGGTAAAACATAACATGCAGTATACATGATACAGCTACATACCATGAGGTGGTGTAGTACTTGATGGGGTGGCTCCTCCTCCACTACTATTCTCTCCTGCTCCATTACTGCTATCATTAGGTGTGTTTCCATTAGTCTCCTCCTCACTATCATTAATATTTGTTCCTATACATCATACAAACACATCAACAGTAAACTATTAATACAAACACTATTGTATACCTTGAGTTTGTGTATCATTCTCCAACCCATTCACACCTCTATTAGGTGTGTCTCCATTACCAACATGCCCAATACCAAAGGCACAGAATTCATCAGGTTCAATAGAACCATATCTGTTCCCTACACTAAAAGATCCTCCTTCAACTATACTGAACTGGTAAGCATTGGGAGACTTCAGTGGAGCTCTCACAAACTTGAGGCAACCAGTCTGACTAGTGTTCCTTAGATCCACACAATGTTGTAGCTCTATTACCAGTGGTTTTAATAGTGCCTTAGATACTGATATTGCATATACTGCACTCACTAGCATAGTGCCTTTGGGTACCTTAAAATTACCACCAGCTAGTGCAGTAACAGCTACTTCAGTATCCTTGGATACTGCTCCTTGAGGACACTCTAATCTGAATTCACATTTCTCCCATTGGAGTGAGTGAGACCTGTCTCCTTGTAGGATAAAGAGCGTCTGTCCAGCTATAATGACACTAGAGTCTAGTGAATCTGAAACAATACCAGTATAGTACACAAACAATCATTCACATGTGTACTGTACATGTACATGCATGAATAATTTACCAATTGAAGGGATCAGGTAATTAAATTGTAGTCCAATGGAACTAGTCTTTTTGATGGATTGTTCCTCTAAGGATGTAACTCTCTCCTGTAGTTGTGACTTCTCCTTCATTAGTTTGGTTGTATACAATTCATTATCAGACACTTTAGCTCTAAGGTCTATAAGTTAAAAAATATTATATTATTGATGATGATACACTAACCACTAGTAACCAGTAATGATTTGTTTCTCATTCTGTGATTTTTCCTCTACTTGTGACGTCAGTTTGGCTATAACTTTGTCTTTCTCAGAAATGTCAGTTTTGAGATTTTGATTGTCATCTAAACAATAAACATATCCTAATACATGCTGTGTGTATATAGTTAACTAACCAATAATGATCTGTTTTTCTTTAAGATATTGTTCCTCCAAATTGGCTACTTTGAGTTTCAGTTTCTCATAATCTTCTGCATTAATAAAAGTCTCTCAGCTAATATTATGCTGGTGATACACTGACCAGTAATAATTTGTTTCTTCTCCTCTACTTGTGTCTTCACTCCCAATATTTTAGTTATATATACTTCACTATCAGCAAATTTAGCTTTAAGCTTCTTATAATCTTCTATTATCAATAAAAATGCAAAGATAGAAATGTAAGAGATCCACACGTGCCCCCCTGGCTTATGCCAACTACAAGAATATTTTAAAGGTTATAAAACCAACCTACCCACCAGAAAT